TTTTTGTAACAAGCTAAAGAAAAAATATATGCAATTAATAAAACAATTTTGATAATTTATAATATAACATATTTATAGGTGCGTTTTGATTCTATTATTAAAAATGAAATCATCATGCAATCAATGTTATTGAACCCTATATATTATATAAAGACAGGCTTTTCATATGAAGAAAGAAATCAAGCAATTAATTGCTTGAAAGGAAGTATTTTATGTCCAGCAGGATATACAGAAAATAATAACAATCAATCAACATATGATGATAATGGTACATCTATAAAATTATTTATAATCTTCAAATCATAACAATTGTTAATACTTTACAGGAGAACCGAAATCAAAATTATTGAAGTTTTTCGACAATACATTTGGTAATACAAAATCTGATACAAACAAGTATCTTTATCGTAGATAGAGATACAGAAGTCAAAGTATATTTCGAAAAAACTGCAGTAGATAGGAATATTAATATTGTTGATTGATGGAAGGAAAACACGAAAAGATTTCCTATACTATCAGTTGCTGCAAAATGTTACATCGCTATGCCTAGTACACAAGCAACTAGTGAACGGTTGTTTTCAACAACTGGAAATATTGTTACAACCAAGAAAACCAAGCTACTATCAATACATATGGAAACATTAGTTTTCTTACACGAGAATTTAAAATAAAACATACATAACTACATACTTCTTACTTCCATGATGGTTAGGGTTCTCAATTCTATTAATGTTAACATAAAGAAATCTGGTTATACCATATGTATAAATAAAATGTGAAAACAATAAAACATTTTATTTGTAAGTTTGTAACTTTATGAAGATTGAATGGAGGTTGTCAATAAAAATTAGAAATGTCCTCTTCATCTTTTTTCTTTTTTTCCTTTTTTTTAGAAGTTGTACTCTTTTTGTTAATTAATGTACTCTTTTTGTGCGATCGAGAGTTGGTAATGATGATGTATTAATTTAATTCTATGTTGTAAATTATCAAGCTAAATAAAACAAGAATTTTGTAAAGTGAAACTCAGTAGCAGAAAACGAAAATCTAAAATTATGACCATATTCAACAAAACAAGATACATTCTTGAATTCCGATATTTTCAGAAATCCTGACCATTTTCGAGAAACCCGAATATTTTCAAGAAACTCGAATATTTTCGGGAAACCTGAATATTTTCGGGAATCCCGAAATTTTCGGGATCGCGTCCTAATCTCGAAAAGCATTCCTGTCCCGACCCGATTTTGCATACCTTTAGTGTTCATATTGCAGTCTAATATGATATTTTAATATTGTTGTTATTCTTAAATACAGTCGATTATAATAACACGCAGATACTTGCTCAAAACTATCCGTTTATGATTTTTTAAATGTTATGTGGTGCTACTACGGTACGCCATCTTATGACGTATTATTACATTCTGCATTCTGTTATATATGTATCAACTACGTGTTTGGTATCCATACATTTAAATATGCACAATATATAATACTTGCTGCATATTACATACGTATCATATACGTATTTCGACTTGAATATGCACAATATATCTGCTACATGTTACATACGTATTAAGTACGTATTTCGACTTGGATATTTTATATCCATTGCATTAATTACGTATTTAATACATTATATTTGATATGAAATGAAACGCAATGTAAATGCAATATAGATAGAGGAAAGTCCCCTATTATGAGATAGGCGCCTAATATGAGATAGCAGCGTTTCTGTTAAACTAATAAACGTTATCTATTGGTTCCACTATGAATTTATTGCTCTTGGATTGAAAACTATTTAGTAAAAAATTCATTATTAGTTCGTACCTGTAGTTATTGTAAAACAAGATTTTAGACTTTGGATGTCTTCAAGTTTTATTGAAATGAGCATTTAAACCTTATTTAATATTTAATAAATAAATATTTGGCAATAAAATCTTCATGTAGTGATAGAGTAAGGTCGTACTAATAGAAAAATACGGAATATGTTGAATTGTTTAATTATAGAAGTTAGATTTGATGATCGTAAAGCTATAAGGCGTGGAAATCGTAATATGAGATACCCAGGGTATTCTTAATATGAAATATTAGGAATGTTCCTATGTTATAGTAAAAATCGTTGTTAAAGTATAAATGTTATTGTACAATAATAAAAAAGACAACTGGAATGAACGTCGAGTGCATATCTGCGATGCTTGATTCCAACTACCTGGAAACAAGTTCTAACAAGTAACACTACCCAAGTGTTAATCACCGATCGTCTTGAAATTTGGTCTACATATTCTTTAATGGAAAATATTTGATACGTATTTTTTTATATCGGCTAAAAAACATTTTAAGGGGGCTAAAAAAATGTTTTAACATTGTAAAAACTACTATCGCAACGTGTATATTGTGTCACCGTGGGCTTCTTGCTTGGATGTTTGAAAAATACATTTAAAATTGGCTGAAATGTATTACCTGGGGGTTTTTGGTATCGGGGATTACGAATCTGAAGTCAGAATTTTAAAATTCAAAATGTCGTATCCAATATGGCTGACGAATTTTCAAGAAATTGTTTAATTTCCATAAGAATGTGAATACTGGTGTTTTTGGGGTCGCTTAATACGAACTTGGAGTCAGATTTTCAAAATTAGAATAAATAATTATTTTAAAATACACTTCTTTGTTTTGCCTGCAGTTAGCCTACTGTGATAGTAGTTTCCAGGGTCTACCGCGAGGAGGTTGCAGTGCTATTATAGACCCCATTTTTTTTT